AAGGAGGGTGAGAGGCAGAGACCTGGAGGACCCCAGGGCCCCGCACCGCCCAGCCCACGAGGGTCTGGAGCCCGTCCCTGAGGCTCTCCCCTCTTTCCTCCCCACCTCCTCCCCTCCCCTCCCCCTCTCCTTTCCTCTACTCCTCTCCTCTCCTTGGCCTCTCTGTGTAGGCTCTGACTGCGCCTTGGCTTGGGTGTGGGGTGCAGAGGCCCCTGCAGGCCACGTTAGTCCCCCCCGCTGGGTTAATTCTCTCCTCTGAGATGAGTGTGAGGCCGTTGTCTTCCCTGCGGCTGTGAGAGAGTGGGGGCGGGTGGGGGGCTGACTCTCTCCTTGTGGGGAGCCCAGGGGCTCCAGGCCAGGCCAGTCCGGGGCTGCTCTCTCGGCAGCCTTTCCTCCACATTGTCTCGAGTTTCGGGCCGAACCGGACCCTCCGGACGGTGTGAGGCAGGGACTGCGGTTCTGCGTTGTCCCACCGATGCTGGACCCCTGTGCCCAGTGCCCAGGAGACCGGCCCAGAGGACTAGGGTCCGACCTGCCTCTGGGTCCCGCGCTCCAGCTGGGCTCTGGCTCTGGCCAGGGCAACCCTGGGGAGCCCCCCGGCCCCTGCTGTGTCCTGTGTGGAAAGAGCAGAAAGACTCGCCGGGGGGCGGGGGGCGGGAGGTCGGCTGCCTCCACGTGAGCATCACAGGCTGCCCTTCCCGGCCCATCGTCCTTTCCGATGGGGAGCGAGTGTCCAAGTGTCATTGGGACCAGAGCGCGTCTCGCATCTCCCCTCCCATGTTCTTGGTCCCGGGAAAGTGTCTCCACGTGCCCAGCTCGGCTCACTGGCTCCCTGCAGCTGGCCCGCAGGTCTGGGGAAGGTCCGGTTGCCCCTAACGGCTGCAGTCCAGGGAGAAAACGCTGCACACCACGGGAGCGCTTTCCTCTGGAGGGAAGGACGTCGCCAAGCGCCGATTTCAGTGAATTGAGATAATTGGAACTCCTAGGGCCAAGCCAGTCCCTGCAGAAATAATGCCGCCATCTGCGATGAATAGCCTCTCCCCCCCCCCGCCTCTCCCTCCTTCCCTCCCCTCCCTCCTCTCCCCCCTCTCCCCCAGCACACGCAGCCGCAGCCGTGATTCCGACTCGGCGCTAAACACTCACATTCTCTGACTTCGAGTCCCCCTGATGTTTAGATCTGATCTCCACAGAGCTAGTTTCCCCTTTGCATGAGTTCGTTTCAAAGTGTTCTGGAAACTGAGCTCATGGCTCCTAGCCTGGGGTCCCAGCCGGCACCTCCCAGCAGGTCGCCCCTCACTCAGGACCCCGCCTCCTGTGCTGACCACTGGCCCGGAGCCAGGACAGGCCCCGGCCACTCTTCCCTCCCCCAGGGCAGGTCGGGGGTCTCAGAAACATCTTGATCCCTCTGAGCGCCCCCAGGAGGGTACCTGGCTCCCCCACAGCCGTGCTCTGTGGAGCGGCCACAGTTCCCTGCAGCCCAGTTCCCGACCAGCAGTAGACCTGTGAGAGAAGGGCCTGAGCGTGGCCATGTGATGGCTGCCGATGACTCTGTCCTAGCGTCTGGCGTGAGCTCGTCCATGGGCTTCATGTGTCCTGGCGAGGAGGGGCACAGGCCTGCAGTGAGAAGGCTCGGGGTGGAGAGCACCTCTCCCTGGTCAGGGTCCGCCAGGAGGGGCCCACCCTGCCCCCTGCACCTCCTGCCTCCTAGCCAGCTCTTGCCGCTCCCCGGGGACAGGGCTGGAGAAGAATTGAGGCTGTCTTGTGCGTCAGTTACTATCCTGCCTGCTGGTTCCAGTCTTGTGCCAAACTGTCCATCTGTCCATCCCTCTATCCTTCCACCCATCGCTGTCACCCAACATGCATCTTCCTATGTATCCATCTCTTCGTCCGTCTCTCCATTCTTCTGCCTACCCCTCCATCACACATTCATCCATCCACCCACTTGTCAGTCACCCACATCTGCACCCATCGGTCCCACCTTCTGTCTTCTGCATCCATTCACCCACCCAGTCGTCAGTCAGACTTATACCCACCATCTGTCCACATAACTATCCACCCTCCACCCATCCCTCCTTCATCCTTCCATCCACCCACCGATTTCTCCATCCAAACACCCATCGCTCCATCCACTCAACAACCAAGATCCATTCACCCACATATCCCTCCCTCCACCCACCCATCCACCCATCCATCCATCCATCCATCCACCCACCCATCCATTCATCCCTCCATCCACCCACCCATTCATTCATACATACATACATACATACATCCACCCATCCATCCATCCACCCATCCCTCCTTCATCCCTCTATCTACCCACCAGTCATCATCCATTCACCCACCTATCCATCCATCCACCTATCCATCCACCTATCCATCCATCCACCCACCCATCTATCCATCCACCCATCCATTCATCCACCCATCCATCCATCCATCCATCCACCCATCCATTCATCCCTCCATCCACCCACCCATCCATTCATACATACATACATACACCCATCCATCCACCATCCATCCACCCACCTATACCTCCATCCACCCACCCATCCCTCCATCCACCCACCCACCCATCCATCCATCTATACACCCACCTATCCCCCATCCACCCATCCATCTATTCACCTACCTATCCATCCACCCACCCATCCATTCACTTACCCACCCATCCCACCATCCCCCATCCATCCCTCCATCCAACCACCCATCCCTCCATCCACCCAACAACCATCATCCATTCACCCACATATCCCTCCCTCCACCCACCCATCCACCCAACCCTCCTTCATCCCTTTATCCATCCACCAACCATCATCCATTCACCTACCTATCCCTCCATCCACCCACCCAACCATCCACCCATCCCTCCTTTCACCCACCCACCCACCCATCCATCCATTCACCCATCCATCCATTCATCCATCCATCCATCCCTCCATCCATCTATCCCTCCACCCACCCATCCATCCATCCATCCATCCACCCATCCATCCATCCATCCACCCACCCATCCATCCATCCACCCACCCACCCATCCATCCATCCACCCACCCACCCATCCATCCATTCATCCATCCATCCATCCACCCATCCATCCACCCATCCATCCCTCCTTCCACCCACCCACCCACCCATCCATCATCCATTCATCCACCCACTCACCCATCCATCCACCCACCCATCGTTCCATCCACCCATTCATCCATCCACCCATCCATCCACCCACCTATCCCTCCATCCACCCAGCTAGCTATCCACCCATCCATTCATCCATCCACCCATTCATCCACCCACTCATCCATCTATCCATCCACCCACCCAACCTTCCCTCCATGCATTCGTCTCTCCCTCCACCCACGCATCCCTCCCTCCATCCATCCACTCACCCACCCACCCACCCACCCATCCATTCATCTACCCACCATCTGTCCCTCCACCCAAACACCCATCCCTCTCTCTCCACCCATCTACCCATCGATCCCTCCACCCCATCCTCATTTTTCAGTCCATTTGTGGAAACTGAAACTCCAAGAGGGGAAGGATTCGTCCAGTATCCCAGGACTGCTGTGCTGACCTCCTCCATGTCTCTGTGGTCCCCTCCCTCCCTCTCCTTGTCCCAGACCCATCCCGGTTTCACTGTCCTTCCCTGCTGGGCCCAGGTGCAACTCCCTTGCACCACGACAGTCCTCAGTTGCTCCCCAGGAAGGCTTTTGCTGGGCATTTTGGTTCCAGGTGGTGGCTGAGAGCCGCTTGTTTGGACAGTGGCGAGTTCTGGGGGGACACCAACAGCCCTGAGACGTAGCTCAGAGAGAGCAAACAGCATCTGCTTCCCAGCAAGAGGTTTGTTTTTAGGCTTTTCTTTTATCTTTTTTTTAAAGTAAAAAGACAAAAAGATATGGGAGAGAAGGAGAGCTTGTGTGCAGCCAGGTAGGACGGGCTGTGGTAGCAGGGGGCCTTGGCTTCCCGGCTCTGCGGGTGCCCTGGGGCTCCCTCTCCTACAGGCGCTCCCCGGGAGCTGCTGGAGGGGGATAGACCCTTGGGGTAAGAGCCTCCGCACGCACGGCCATTAGCCCACCGGCTCTGCAAACTGTCACAAGGCGTCCCACAGCGTGCTTTGTTCTCAGGATGCCAAAATGAGGCCTCTGTGGGACAGGCACCCGGCAGGGACGGGAAAGGCGCCAACCTGGGTCTGACGGCAGACGGACAGAGTGACGGGCTGACAGAGGAACAGGCTCCTGCTCCTCGGGGTCCCCTAGGAGACCACCCAGCCGCGTTCCGTCTCAGGGCAGGCTGTGGGGCAAGGTCCCCCTGGAGCTTGCCAGGTGAATAGTTATTTCTCGTGGGCAAACGCTTTCTTGTAAATATCGCATCGGGACCTGAAGTCGTGTCGGATTCCTTGCGAGCGTTTTCCGACGTTCCCTCCGGTCTCGGCTCCATGGTGTGGCCCTGCGTGGCCGGCTCTCCCGGCTCTGCCTGACGTGCTCCAGGCATCTCCATGTCTGTGGGAACGTGTCTCGCTCGCAGACTAGCAGCCCTGCTGGCTGTTCCCTGTTACGTGGCTCAGCCAGGAACTATATTTAAGCTCAGGCAAACAATCGACACACTGCGGCTCTGCACGGGGAGCCGCGAGCGCTGGCCTGTCCGAACCTTGGGACATGCCCCATCCAGGTGTGTCCACCCAGGAGCCAGAGCACACGCTGCCAGGGTCACCCCTGAGGGTTCCAGCCCAGCAGTGGCCACACTGCGACCCTCGAGTCTCAGCGTTTCAGCATCGTCTGGCCTGGAAGAGGCCCAAGTAACCACACTCTGCTCTCTCTCTCTCTCTCTCTCTCTCTCTCTCTCTCTCTCTCTCTCTCTCCCCCCTCCCCCCCTCTCTCCCTCTCTCCCTCTCTCCCTCCCCCCCTCTCTCCCTCTCTCCTGCCCTTTCTCTCTCTCCCTCTCCCTCTCCCCCCTTCTTCTCCCTCTTTCCCCCTCCTCCTCTGTCCCTCCCGCAGTGGCTGAGGCCCTCGCAACGGCTGCCTTCCCACCTTCTCCATCGCTGCCCGTGAGCTTCCGGGTGCTGGGAGCTGAGAGCGCCTTCTTCCTGCGGGCGAGCAGCCCCGACGCCCCACGCAACGCCAGCCCGCAGGCCCGGGCCCAGGCCTTCTTCCCCCTCCGCGCCCTGCGCCCGCCTGTGCTTCGCGCCAGCTATGGACCCTTCTCCGCAGAGCAGGAGGTGCCCCCCGAGCTCCTGCCGCCGTCGCCAGGCTGGCGGCTGCGCGCCCACGTCCTGCAGGAGCGGATCCACCGCGGCCGGCCGCGCGCGCACGTGCTGTTCCACGCGCTGGGCCGGGACTGGGCCGAGCCGGACCCCGGGGCCTCGCGGCTGCCCTGCGTGCGCGTCTTCGCCTTCCGGGAGACGCAGGCGGTGCGTGGCAGCTGCCGGCTCCGGGGCGAGCTGGGGCTCTGCGTGGCGCGGCTGGACCTGCCGGCCGGCTGGTTCAGCCCCCCGACGGCGCCGGCCGGCAGGAAGAAGCCGGCGGCCGAGCCCGCCGAGGGCAGCCCCGTGGAGCTCTACTACAGCCTGCCGGCCGGGGAGCCGCGGGCCGACTGCGAGGCCGGGGACGCCGGCCAGGACAGCGCCAGCCGGACAGGCCAGGGCGGCCGGGAGGATGCCACCTCCCGCCTGCAGAGACTCGGCACCGTCCACCTCTCCCGGGCCCCAGACAGCACCCGGCTCCGGGAGGTGCGTCTGGACGACAACGTGGTCATTCAGCTGCCGGCCAGACCTGCCAGGCGGGGGGACGTGGTCACAGCATCCATCGCCGTGGCCAGCAATGCCACCGTGGACCTCTTCATCCTGAGGTGGGTGCCTGGCGGGCCGCGGGGAGGGGGCTCGGCTCACCTCACCCCTGGCCAGTCTGACTTGGACGCCTGGACGGAACTGGCCCTGTTTCTTGCTTGGTGGCGTTTTCTTGTCCCCCTGGGTTCTCTGGCTCAGGCTGGAAGGAGACGGATTCCAGGGGGGTCCTCCCGCTTGGGGACTGCAGGCGGCTGCGTCGAGACCCCTAGGAAGGCCCAGGAGTGACCATCCCCGGTGGCCGAGCTACTGTGGGAAGTCGAACACCCTCATGGTGTGAGTTGAGCAGTCAGGGTGCAGCTCAGGTGAGGCGGCGGGGAAGGCAGTCATGGCCTGTGGCAGCCCCTCACAGGGACGGAAGTGCCCAGTGATCAGTACCAGGAGAAACTCTGGGTGCAGACCCCGGAGCCCGGCCTCAGTCACAACAGGCGCCCGGTGGCAGCTCAGAGCCCAAGATGCGGAACAGAAGGACGGTCGTCCTGGGAGGTGCCTCCCGGGGCCACTGCTGAGGCCCCTGTGCCCATCGGGCTGGCCGCATCCCGCTGACCCTGTGCCTGTTGCTAGCTCAGGCCCTTCGGACAGTGCCCCTGAGGCGTGGGGTTGTCTTGCGCCGGGTCTGGCCACTTCCCTCCTGCTGTCACTGAACAGACTGACCCCCGCGGCCTCCCGCACTGGCCTTGTGCCCGTGGCTAGGGCTGTCCCAGTGCTGCGTGGGTTGGGACCGCTGCAGGGTGATCTTGGTCCTCTCTCTAGGGCACCGTCCCCTCCATACTGCAGTCCCAGAGGCCCCAGGAGTGCATGGGTCAGTGTGGGGACAGCAGGGGTCAGTGTGGGTATGGGGACAGCAGGGGTCAGTGCGAGGGACAGCTTGGGTCAGTGCAGGGGACAGCAGGGATCAGTGTGGGGGAGAGTAGGGGTGAGCATAGGGGATGGCAGGGCCACAGGACTGCCCCTCCCTGGGAAGGGGTCCCCGTCTCAGGCTCATCGAACCAGCTCCATGCCCCAGAGTCCAGCACTGCAGCCCGCTGCTGGCCATGACCCGCCTGAACACCCTCTGTCCACTCTAGCACCGTGTGGCTGCAGCTGCTGTCCAATCCCCGGGTCCAGAGGTCATGGACTGCCTGGACCCCTCCTGCAGGGACGGAGTGGCCACTGTGTCCTGGGGCTGCCAGCAGCTGGCCAGCAGCACTGTGAGGTCCTGCCCCGCGTGTCCCCAGGCCATGCCTGTCCCCGCCTCGCTGCCATCCAGGCAGAGCTGTGTGGCACAGAGGGACCAAGGGAATCCCAGCAGCCTCCGGTCATGTTGGCCGGCACAGACCCCAGAGGCGCGGGGCCCCAGCACTCTAGGACGTAGGCCGTGAAGAACAGCCCGGGGGCCCGGGGGCCCAGGAGTGAGGCACCTGGCAGGGCCCCTGGGAGCCCTGAGATCGTTTCAGGGCAGAGGAGGTCAGGCAGCGCCCTGTCCATGGGCCCAGCACCCCATGTCCCTAGGCTGGGAGGCCACTGGCGGTGACACGACAAGGTCTGGGCTGGACCTCAGCCTGTGGGTCCAGTACAGAGGAATGACCACTGGGCATGCACACGTGCACACACACATACACACACACATACACATACATACACACAGTTATACACACATACATATATAACACACACTTATACACACAGTTATACACAAACATATACACACTTATACACCCACACTTATATACACACATATACACATACACATATATACACACATTTATACACATACATGCACTCACATACACACATACACGCACATATATACACATCACACATATATACATCACACACATGCACACACATACAAACACACACTTATATACACACACATACACATACATACACACACTTATACACATACACGCAACACACATTCACACACGCACATACAAACATACGCATTCACACACACACACCCGCACATACATACACATACACTCACACACGCGCGTGCGTGCACACACACACATACCCAGCACCCTCTGATCTCACTCCACACACCATGGCTGCCCCCTGCTGGCCATCAGAAGCATATGCAGAGCGGAGACAGGACTGGGCTAAGGCGCTTCTGTGCATGTGGCCTACCCAGGTCTGATCCCAGCATCGCACAGGGTCCCCCAAGCACTGACAGGGGTGATGCCAGAGCACTGACTGAGCCAGGAACAGGCCCTGAGCACTTCTGGGTGTGGAACTGAGCAGTACTGGGACCCAGGGGCAGGGCTGGGGGCTGGGTGATCCTGTGGGACCGTGGCCGGCCTCCTTAACACGCCCCTCTGCAGAGAAACGCGCCCCCCATCCTGTCTTCCACGGGCTGAGAGAAGCAGCGGGAGCCCAGAGACGCCGCGATTTAACCCAGGCGCATGGCACCAGGACTCACCCGCACCAGACACACTCCACTGGGCACACCCACCGGACACACCCCACTGGGCACACCCAACTGGGTACAGCCCCACTAGACACACCCCACTCAGCACACCCCACCGGACAAAACCCACTGGACACACCCCCACTAGACACACCCCACTGGGCGCGCCCCACCAGACAAACCTCACTGGGCACACCCCACTGGGCATACCCCCACCAGCCAAGCCAAGGGTTTCAGGGCTGGTGCCCGCTGGGACTCGGGCTGTGCTGTGTCCCATCAGTGGTGTACCCCCGCATGTCATGCCTGGGGACAAGTGTCTCCCCACAGTGAGCGTGTAAGTCAGGGTGTGTATGGACATAAGGGTCTGCTGCCCGCAGGCACCTGCCCTGGCAGACTGGAAAGTGTCCAGCTCACAGCTTGACTGACAGTGTCTCCCAGCCTCCTGGATGGCCCCTGGGGGTGGCTCCAGGCCACAGCCTCCGGAGACACTCGCGGGATGGAGGTGCCCATGCCCGTAGCTGGACTCTCGCTCTGGACAGCACCAGCACCGCGGGTGCTCAGGGAGCCTCCCCGCAGCCTGTCCGTGAGCTGAGAGCTTGGGTCGCTACTCCGGGCTCTGGGTGTGGGCACAGCGGGCTGGCCCCATCCGTGAGGCAGCGGGTCCCTGGTGGTCGGTGCCACGTCTCTGCCTAGGGGCCGCAGCCTTGGACAGTGCAGCCTCTGCCGGGCCCCTCAGCCCGTGTCTGGCCAGATGCCCTGGACAGGGCATCTCCAGGGCTGGAGCTGTCCACTGCGATGGCCAGCCCAGCTCTCACCGACCACGTCAGCACTGCCGCCACCCAGGCCTGGGCCTGAGCGGGGAGGGGCAGTGGGATGCGGGGCTCCTTAGGACCCCAGGAGCCGGGGCCGTGGCCAGGCCTGAAGGTGAGGGAGGAGGAAGGTGACTGTTCTCACGGCCCCCCTGGGCAATTGAGGTGCCCGCGGCCACCGAGGGCTGAAGCTCCGGCGCGGACAGGACGTCCTGAGGGGGAGATGCTCTAGACACACGCAGGCCCCGGCCTGTGTCCACGCTCCTCTGCTGAACCCTGACCTGTGTCCACTCCCCTCTGCTGACCCCAGACCAATCTCCAGGGAACCCCAGGACTGACCCCTCCAGTCCTCAGCACCGAGACCAAGCAGAGTCTCTGTCCACTCCCCCGTGGGGTGCCCACTCTCCCGGGCATCACTCTGAGGCTGATCTTCAGGGCGAAGGGAAGGGGCAGTTGGCTTCTTCCTGGGAAGGATGAGGAGACCTGTCCCTGGGGCCAGTGTCCCCGACCCTGGGCACCTCCAGCGCCCCAGCCCAGGACCCACCCCTACTGCCTTCTTAGCGGCTCCTGGCCAGGTCCCTGCGACCGGGCGAAAGGACCTGAAACCCTGAGCCCCTCAGACAGGAGCCAGACTCAGGCCAGGAAGTTGCCCCTGACCAGAGCTGTCCCCTGTCCCCTCCCCTGTCCCCCCGCCCCTGAGAGGCAGTCCCAGGCTGGTTACCAAGGAAACCAGACTTCCTTTTGCCTAAAACTGCAGCCAACAATGCAGCCAGCACTCAGCTCGGGGGCTGCGTCTCGGAGCATGTCCACTGTGTGGGTGCAGAGTGTGGTGGGCGTCTGGTGCTCCGTGGGCCGTGCCACCCCAAGGGACTCTGTCATGGAGAAGTCCGGGGCGCCTGGGGGAGCCACCCGGTGTGGCCAGACAGGGGGACAACTGGGGTGGCTGCAGCCCTGAGATGACACCCTGGGGGTCGCCGCGGGAGCTGGCCACAGGCAACCCTGCCGCGCCCAGCCCCCCAGGCCCCAGGACACGGCCTCACGGGGGGCACATGGGAGCCCTGGAGAAAGGCAGCGAGGGCCCAGCCCAAGCTCACGTGGGCCAGGGGCCGGCTTCAGAACCGTGGGCCTTCAGAACCATGCCGCGGCCTCTCCCTCCCCTCCTCTGCGAGCTCAGAGCCCAGCCCTGCCTCCCCGAGTCTCCTTGCTCCAGGAGCTTCTCTTTAGGGGAAGGTTCATGTCAAGGCAGAAATGCTCCTGACTTCTCCATTCGTGGCTCTCTGGGCACGCGGGAAGGCCCGCTGAGGCCAGCCGGGGCCCGACACCTTGCTGGTCATTTTTGCTAGAACTAGAGTGGCAAAGGTTCTGCTTTGGGAACAAACAGAAGAGGAAAGTTTTACACTTTGTTCCTCACCTGGGCCTGTGAGTCGCAGAAACCTTGGTCCATGGAAGGGGTTTCCGGGTTTTCCTGGCGGTCCAGAGCCCAGCCCGGACTCCCCATAGCTGGTGAATTGATCATCCCGGTAAAGGAGGCAGCCGATGCATCAGCGTCTTCCTCTTCCTCAGCCTTCCGCACCTCCAGGCCCATTTCTCATCACCTATTGTTTCGTGGCAGAAGATAAATACACCATCAGACTCGTATCTCAGTGCTGGCTAGAGCCTTCGCTCTCGGGGGAGCCTCTGCTCTGGGCCTGTGCAAACAATATTGATTTATGGAAGAGGAATTCCCGGGCGAGTCTCTATGATCAAACAGGTTTATTCCACGGGGGGGCAGGGGGCGAGGGGGGCCTGGGGCCGTCCATCACCC